AGCCCGGCAAAGGTCTTTGTTATATGTTTTTGTTCGCTATTTTTGGGGTTGACCGTGCACAAAACCTGACAAAATACAATAGGTGGTTACGTGTGTTCAAGCAACTAACCAATAGAAACGTTTCGCTTACGTAATTCATGCATAGTGCATGAGCTCAAAACAAAAGATGTGCAGGGTCATGGACCTTCCAACATAAATCTTGGCCTCTTTGTTTGCTCCTTTGAAGTTTGCCCGGCTTCATAACCATTTCCCTCTATTAACTATGGTTTGACCATGCCGCATTGGTCGAGGGAGAGGCCTGACAAAGTCCAGCTCTGGCCGTTCAGGTGTGGGCCGTGGAGCCAATCACCACACCCCGTAAAAAACACACTATAGATTACTGAAACTCCTGCAACGGAAGTACTGTCGAGTCTAAGAGTCAGTTTGATTTATTGATGTTTGTTTAATTCCCTAACAGGATAATAAAGAACAGGTTATAGTATTGGACACTTGGGTTATACAGGTCAGCACACATCTGTCTTACTTGATTGACCCTTTAATTCTCTTTACTTCTTTTCGTGCAATTTGCATGGATTTGCTTTGGAGAATCTAGTAGTTAATTTATGTTATTTTCAAGTAATCTTCACGCAATGATGACAACATTAAGTGTGCGTTCGATGTATTCCCGTATAACAATTTTCCGGATTATTATTTTATGGCAAACTGGTCCATGATGAAAAGGAGCATTCTGATTGGTTCCCTGAGCCGTCCGAATTTTGCCATACGGACCGCTAAGATGAACCACTCATGAATTAATTCCGTCGAATACCTTTTATGAAACATTGAACAAAATATAAAACTGGTTTCTATTAAGAAGAACATTTTTACATTATGAAGTCTGGCGGACAATTTCAGTTACACTGTTACGAAAATGGCCCTAAAAATTTGCCGGGAAATATATGCTTAGCTTTGGCGCGCGCGTATGCCGAGAAAGGATGCATTAATTTATCACGCAGCAAAGCCATAAAAGAGCTAGTTACACTAGTTTAATAACATCTAATTATTCCAGAATAGCCATTATTTCCGACAATCAATAAATTAGATTATTCCGGCCGTTTGTGGAATAACGGATGCTTTGTTTTTATCTTTATTTACAGCAATGGAAGAACGAATTTCTAACGTGGAACGCTAGTGACTATGGTGACGTGGAACGCGTCCATTTCGCTCCTGATGAAATTTGGGTCCCGGATATAGCTCTGTTTAACAAGTGAGAATTGTCTTTTGCCTCTTTTGGTGCAAAACCTTTCGGCATTGAAATAAGTTCACTCGTATTTCATTTCCATGCAATAATAATTGATCAAAGTTTTGTTTCAATTAAACACTCGAGACAGTGTTTCATCCGATTTCATCCGATTTTTTTTTTCGGGGGGGGGGGGGGGGAGTTAGTTCTTTGATCGTCCATTTTACAGAGCGCGGAGGGGGGGGGGGGGGGGGAGGGGGCTCCCTGGTGAAAATCCAATAAGTTCTCCATGTCTGTTGCAGAGGGGTGTAAGATACACGCGTTCAAGTTTAAAATTAGCTTCAGTGCTGATCACGGGAACTGAGATGTACGGAATTTATTACTGGGAAACAATATTTGCATTGAACTTTAAAGCCTATTCTGCCCTGGGGCGAGGGAGGCAGGTAGTGCGGGCTTACCCCTCCCCCCCCCCCCCTCCCCCCTCCCCCGAAACACACACCCTCCTCCCTCGGCCTACGAACGCCATAAAACCCAGGTAGAATAGGATTAACAACACTTAATGACTGGTCCCTCGGGAAACAGCGAGTTTTGTTTGAACATTGAGATTGGAGGAAAACAAAATTCACTGGTTTCCGATGGGACCAGTCATTAAGTAGTGATTTGTTAAATAGCAAAACAAATAGGCATTTAACCATCAACTGACATAAACGCAAGCTCACATTTGCTGCCAAATCGTTACCAAAAAAAGTCCAAAAAAGTTGAAGTGAGACTACGTTGCACGGATAAATTCGGCTGCCAACGTTGGAAAGAACTGGGAATTTAAAGCAAACTTACCAACAATTCATTTATTTCTCGCATTGGGGTAAAAGCTCATTAGAAGTTCGTTTAATTGCTTCGAATTTTCTTCCCGAAACTTGGAAACTCTTGCAGCGGGCAACATTAGCGGGCAACAGTGAACAGTGCACTGTTACCCTCTGACGTCACAGTTTTTGCAAATGTTGCCCACTCATCGCTTTTGGCGGGAAACAGTTTCTTTGTTAGCTGTCATGTGACCTTGAATCAACCAATGAGAGCGTGCGTTGTATCGGGAAAAACCGCAGCTATATAACAATGTTATATTTGTCCCCAGTGGTGACGATCAAATCAACTTAGCAGGAGGACCGAGCAAGTTTGTGACTGACGTTGCAGTCAACAGTAAAGGGAAATGTGTTTGGGGCGGACCAGCCACATTCAAAGTCAATTGCAGAATGGACATTGCTAACTGGCCATTTGACGAACAGGAATGCGAACTTGGATTTGGTTCGTACACGTATGGACAGAACTTATTGTCAATCAAGTTATTCAAGACTAAAAGTAACTTTGCAAGTAAGGAATTATCCATATACTACCGAAATCACTAAATTGCTAGCACCCCTACCCCTAAAGAAACGATCGATCGCATTTAAATGTTCGACTTGCTCACGTGACCATTTGGAGCGCCCCTAATGGTCATGTGACATTCTCTTCCTTTTACATGACCAATAGGGGCGCTTCAAATGTTCACATGAGCAAAATGCGATCGATCGTTTTTTTAGGGGTGCAAACAGTTTAGTGATTTCGGTAGTAACAGTAGATTTAGACAACAATTTTAAAATAAAAATAAGCGATAAAAGATTAAACACCGTGTCTCGTGCATGTTTGATATCATTACAAGAAGCACCCCACCCCTAACAGGCACTAAACAGCTATGCTTTTCCTCTTTCAGATCGTTTTGTAGAAAGCGGGGACTGGGACATAGAAAACATCACATCTAAAATATCAGAAACAGATCATGGCGACTGCTGTCCGTTTAACTTCGATGAAGCTGTGTACACTCTGAAAATGAAACGCAAATCACTGTATTACATGTTCTACCTCACAATCCCTTCCGTTATACTGACTGTCCTCGCACTCAGCAGCTTCCTTATCCACGTTGAAAGCGGGGAACGTATTGGGTTTGTCACGACTATTCTGCTGGCAATGACGGTGTTTCTACTTGTGATTCCATCATACCTTCCAGTCACGTCCGATGGCCTTCCAATCCTTGGTGTAAACCTACAAGTTACCATGATCATTATAGCGCTGGTCCTCTTCGCCAACATTTTTGTCCTAAGGGTTTACTTCATGGATGGAACGCCCCCGAGCTGGATTGAAACACTCTGCGTCTTCCTCAGCGTGAGGAAAAGCAAAAGAATCAAGCGGATTCACGCAGCAAAGCCTGTCAGTGCTTACCCAGTGGCTGTGAAATCCATCACAACAATCGGCGGTATCGAGATGACTGAGTCAAGTGGAGGAAGCCCGGCATTGGTTGAAGGATTAGATGAGAATGAATTCACGTGGCGGAGGGTGTCCATCAAAATGGATCACGTGTTTTTGTGCTCTTCATTATTGCTTCGTCTGTTTCATATATCGTGACATTTGCATGAGTAAACATTTTTGTTGTTGTTTTGTAAACAATTTATCGCTGTAAACAATGTACATTTGCTCGTTATAACATAAAGGTTTGTTTTGAAGTAATATATCAAACACGAGAGACAGTGTTTCATCACATTTCCAAACACCGAGAAGAGAGTTGAAAATACGACACGTGGCGGAGTACCGAGTAGCCTGAGTTCAGTGATATCACGCTAAGTACCGATGTGTTTGGAAATCGGATGAAACACTGTTTCGAGTAAAAAAATATATACCATCATTTCTTTCCACTGTTTCGAGTGTTTGATAAATCTTCTCAATCGAAACTAAAACTAAGGAGAAAACTTAGAGATAATATCGTAATCTATGCTAATTAAGATCAGATTTCCAAGCCACAGACACGGTTATGATCTCCTTTGTTTTATCTTGATGAGTTAACTCATTTGATGAGTTTGAGGTCGGCGGCTTTACATTTTATTTCCAATTCAAACACAACAAGACCATAAGATATACTATAGTCTGTCAACTAACCTGTAGTGCAGGCGTTTTTGAAGACCTGGCCAGCGATGGATTGAATTTACATGTTTCCACAAATGCTCGAGCATGCGCCAAAGACGTAAATTCACACCCGCGCGCCAATTTCCCGCGCAAAATTTTAAAGGAAAACTATTGCAACAACCCGAAATTGAAACCTTGATAGTAGGGAGAATACGCGTTAATATTCAGGCAGACTGACTGGCAGGAAAGTAAATGCCTCGTGTGCGGGACTATTCAACTCGCCTGTATAAATCAATAAATTTTAGCCATGCACTTTCTTTTGTCTACGACCATAGCACAGGGGCAACACCGGTTCCCGTCCGATCTCCAAAGTTATCCGCCTATAGCTAGAAATGCTGCGCCTAGAAATCTTCTTAAGGCTCCGCCCAGAAAAATTCTTAAGTCTATAAATTGGCAGTATTACAGAGTATTTGTCCCCATGCTCTTTTATATAGAGAAAATATGTTATAAAATCTCTATAAATCCAGCACAAACTTTACAAGAAAAACTGCAACATTTCATAGACATTTTACGCCATCAGAAGGCATAAAATGTCTGTAAATTTCAAAACATTTTAAAATCACCACCGAAAAGTGTCCCCCTTTAAACATTGCTAAAATCACCACCGAAAAGTGTCCCCCTTTAAACATGGCTAAAATCACCACCGAAAAGTGTCCCCCTTTAAACATTGCTAAAATCACCACCGAAAAGTGCCCCCTTTAGTGAAGTCGTCTGTAAACGTTTCAAATTTTCCAGTGATATGCGGGATGTTTGTCACATTTGAACCTAGTTATATGGCCTTAGCTTCCACGAGTCTCCTGTAGCTCAGCGGTAGAGCGTCCGATCGGTATGCGAAAAGTCATAGGTTCGACTCCTGTTGGAAGAATCCATTTTTTTTTTCGTTTTCGAGTAGCTTATGTCACTGACTGGATAATATATTTCTCGATTATAATTTTAGTTTCAAAAAAAATTATTGCTATTGATAATTATCAAATGTTCGCTTTCATTTTTTTATTTGTATTGCGAAAGGTTTAAATTGCACCATGCAAACCTCATTTCAAAACAGAGGCAAAGGAAATCGCATATTCAAAAGTTTGAATGTCCCGCATCTTATTACAATGGGAAGAGAACCAATCAAACAACAGCTAATTGTTTGATAACCAAGCCTTGGAAATTTAAATTGTAAATTATACATGTGATAAACTATCGTGTAGCCGTTCGCTTTGCCATCCACGTTAAACATTACACAAAGAAAAGTAACTTTTTCCTCGGCCCATTGCTTCAGAAAAGCTTCAAGCAAGCTGCAGTTTGGGAGTTTCAACGATTGGAGCTGTAACGAACCACAAATAGTTGGACAAGAACTTGAGTTCAAACAAAACTCGCAAGCACATGCTTCGCGTCTGCCGGAACAAAGATGCCGCAATGTACTGAGGTAAGAAACTATATGAAGCTACAATTTTATTTGGTACAGGTATCTTTAGTCAGCTTTTTTCTTTTGTAAACCGTTGAAGAAAAACTAGTATGCCTGCATTTGTTTATTTTTACTTGACTTACTTGTAAGCCGAATTATATATTACACTATATTGATAAGCAATTTCTTCGTGTCCTTTCAAACAATTGCAAATAATTTCGCGGTTTTATTCTATATTCATATATTTTTATCTGTTTCGACAACAGGAGAGAAACCAAGCCACCAAGATTCCATGCAAGGAAGCTATCCATACTGATCCATGACCAAATTTGACAATTTCTTCAGGTAACGATTCGTTTAATTATTCGCCTTTTTACTAACGTAGTTTGTATCAAATAATGCCATTGATTAAAAATAGGTACGCAACGCGTGCATGTGTCTACTGCAAGGTTTTCCCTTGGTTGATTTGTCATTGATTAAAAATGGCTAAAGTTAGTTGGAAATATCTACACTATGGGAGAGACACAGAATTTCTTGTACATTTAATTTCGGGTTTACTCTGATAAGGAGGTCGGCAAACGTTGTTAAAGGTCCATCATTTTTAACGTGTGTTGTAGAGTTTATAATAGATTGTTTAGCTAAGTGATTACAGAACATAATCACTTACGTTGTCTTATTTATTTTTACAGATTACAAAATGCCGTGTTTGAGCTGGAAAAGGGAAAGGAAATCATTTAGAGACAGAAGATCGTCTTAGTTAAGGAAGAAGGTGTGTTGATTGTTTCCTGTTACGATCATACTCAATACGGTGTCTAATCTTGCCCATTCACACCATATCTCTAACATGTAATGCAGTGAAAATCTGTCTAGTTATGTGAACATCGTTGAAAAATATTTTCTGTATAAACGTTTCTTATAGTACATAGGTTAATTGTCTTGACATGATCACGTGATGAAACAAGTGGAGGCCCATTGTAACTCTGGGCAAAATTATATATTACGGCCTCCAGAATTCTGGCACCGATTTTCAATCAGTTCAAATTCATTGAGCAACATGTTTAACTGGTGTGAATGGGGGTACAAGATGTCTGAATTTCACTGCAAAATGAATTTATTTTGTTTGAGCATTCTGGACTTGTTTTGATTCGAACGCCTCGTTTGCACGATTTTTATCCAAACTAATATTTCACGGCAGGCTCAATTACAGCTATGCGGTAACACAACAAGAAAACACATGGAATAAATTTACAAACACTTTATTGATGCTAAAAATAGACAAGCACTTAAATTGACAATTGTTCCACAGTTTGGGCTTTATTATTTATTTTCTCCTTATCATTTATAATTAGAGAGTTGTTTTCCTAAATTTGTCTGAATTTTGAAAGCTAAAGTTTTTTTGGGCAAATTTTGAAGACTTATACATCCTCCAATCGTTTTGGTTGACCTTGAATGAACTTCACGATCGCCGCCATGATGTTTTCATACAAATGTAAATTAGCCAGGTCAGGCCGTAAACAAATTCTTGTTCAACTGTTGGGACTCCTCTGAAATTATTTTTTCTCCTTATCACTTGGATTAAGACTGTTTTCCTAAATTTATCTGGATTTTTCAAAGCTAAAAGTTTTTTGGGCAAATTTTCCGACTTAGACACCCTCCAATCGTTTTGGTTGACCTTGAATGAACTTCACGATCGCCGCCATGATGTTTTCATACAAATGTAAATTAGTCAGCCCAGGGTGTAAACAATGAAAATAAATCTCGTAAAATTGATTCGCTTTAAAAGTCAAGTTCATGCAGTGCCAAAATCGCGTCAAAATTATATTTGAGAGCGAAATATTTCTAATTTCAGGAATATGAAAATACATGGAAAACGATTAAGCGGCATACGAATAATTTTTACTTCAAATCTCTGTGGATTTTAAGTTGTTTACTTCTCAGAAATCAGGCGATTGATTTGCATTATACTACAAAAACCATCACGCCGGCTTTCGTGAACACAACAAAATGTAAATCATTTTGTCACCACACCAAGCAGCTATTAGCAAATATTTTTCGTATTTTTCCAAGGTACAAAAGTTTTAAAATTGTTACTTAGCTTCTCCCTCCGCGAATGATTTAGTCGCACTAGTTTATGAAATGTTATTTCTAATTGCGCTCTAACGCGATTTAAACCTCGTAAAATCATCCTCCTGTCCTAAACAGTGCTTGTTGAATACGGATAAATAAAATACTATCAATTGTTGACATGGATTTCCTTTATTTGTCTTCAGATCGTCGCTTACTCTGGATTACAATGGACGACAGATGCCAGCTGACATGAAGTAGATGCAGAATCATATTTGCTCAAGTTTTCGTTCTCTGGGCTTCATTAGGTAACAAAACTAGTTTTACCGTAAAAGCGATTGACAACTAGTTTCTCTTCAACATATTAGTACAATACTAGGCGTCAAGGTTAGGAGAATTATCTTGCTGATCCGCAAGGAAAATTGTCTCAATATACTGCAAAATTCTCCCAACTTGTATTGACAAATTTGGGAAAAGCAGCAAGGAGATTTTGTCAGTTGATATTTAGTAGTTTAACGTTTAAACCCGTGCAATATTAAATACTAGGAGACTTGAATTTAGATATCGAGAAGAATATACGATCATTATCGAATCTAGCAATTTACCGAGACTGTTTTCAAATTGTGCACCAATAATCTAATTTGTTGAATATATACCAAAATAAATGGTGCACAAATTTTGTCTTAAAACATTTATTCCGCGTAATTTTCTTTAATATTGCACGGGTCCGCGTTTAGGGCGTATTTTACCTATGAAATCAGCGTTTTCGACACTTAGTATTTGATTATTGATTTTGTTTGCAAAAAAAACTTAACAAATTAGCAGAAAATTATTTCTATACCTACAGTATTTACCTGTACAATCTATCGCAAAGACTTAGTTTATTTTTCAATGTTTTCCAGTAGTCGCTCGTTTGTAAAATAAGTAGAAAATACTTTATTTTGAATCGGTATATTTATTATTCGGTTTCAATAGTGAATTTTTGCCTTTGTAATTAGAAATTTGTTTTGTTGTACTTAGAAATATAATTAACGCTTACAACATTGTACAATAGTTAATAATATTCTTGTAATTAAAAACTTGAAATAAACAAACAATTGTAATCAATAAATGAGTCTTGCTTTATTTGTAATCAATAAATTTCTCTCACTTTATTTACATGGGAAACCAAAAAAAAAATCTGCGCTTTTGAAAGGGCCTGGAAACTAGTAAGAATGTAGGCTATCTCTTTTTATACATTTTGCCTATGGAGGGTTGCCGAGCCGGGAAAATTTTCCACACTTTTAAACAGGGTCCAGTGAAAGAAATCAGAATAAACAACATCTTTTGACGGATGAAATCTGCTGCTACCGCACAGATTTTTCCCGCCAAAAGACTTAGTTTATTTTTGACTCTATACTGAAGACTCCCACTCAAAAGCGCAGACTATTTTCCCGCCAAAAGACTTAGTTTATTTTTCGAGTTTTTTATTTTCCCGCTAAAAGACTTAGTTTATTTTTCGAGTTTTTATTTTCCCGCCAAAAGACTTAGTTTATTTTTCGAGTTTTTTATTTTCCCGCTAAAAGACTTAGTTTATTTTCGAGTTTTTTATTTTCCCGCCAAAAGACTTAGTTTATTTTTCGAGTTTTTTATTTTCCCGCCAAAAGACTTAGTTTTTTTAAATCCTAAAAGCTCCTTTCAAAAGCGCAGTCATTTTTCCCGCCAAAAGACTTAGGATTTTTTTTGAGCCAATAAAGCGATGCCGAAATGTACTGCACATACTTAAACTTTATTTGAATTGTTCAATATCTTGTGCGGTGGAAATTCATTCGGCGAACCGAGGTAGTCTTCTCAGTTGATTGTACATCTTTTTTGTCCCTTTATAACACGAGTAACTTCCTTCATCCTGCAAAACAAAAACGAACAACATCAGAATCATTGGGCTATCATCGACATTAATTAATCGCCAATTAATTAGTAGAAAATACATCTTAAAACTCTTAAGCCTGGTTTTCACTAGCAACGCAAGCACAAGCGCAAGCATAAGCAAAAATTCCTTCAAAATCATATCAAAATCACTGCTTTTTCCTTGTGTTTGTGTTATGTTCCGTTTTTACGTGCGACGCAAGCACAAGCACAAGCACAAGGATCAAAATTTTTTGATCCTTGAGCTTGCGCTTGTGCTTGCGTCAAGTCCGTTTTCACGCCGAAATAAGGGCTCTATGCTTGCGCTTATGCTTGCGTCGCTAGTGAAAACCAGGCTTAAAAACGTTGCATCCGAACCGCAGAAATCTCGCTAGTATTACTTGATTGAATCAACTACGTTGCAATACACTACAATTTTGGAAGCGAGCGTAAATTTCAATGCAACAAGTTGTTGCGAAGCTTTTTATAACATAACGTAACATTATGACGTCATATAATTCGCCATC